AACAGTATATTGGAAATGATACCACGTGGTACATAAACAAACCTTTGTCCTCTCCTCCTCACCACCCCCTCCTTACTTACTAATGGCAAGGGCAGGAAGAGCAAAACAATGAGCAAGCTGCCTAGATTGTTACACATGTGTGGTAGACAGTGTCTACAATTTCCCCAGTCTGGGATCTTCTCCCACACAGAAACTTGTGAATAGATTATGAGAAGTATTTATAACCATGTACCTTATTAGTTTACACTGACTCAGAAACCAAAACAGTGGGGAAAACACAGGTGTCTGGTACCAGAAAGCTCTCCCAAGCAGAGGATGAAGGTAATCCTGTATATACATAAACCTTTTCTTCCTCTTCATGACTTCATTCTTTGTTTACAGCATAGACCCATCCAAAACTCATCTCCTGACACTCTTCCAAAAAATGCTACCTACTGCAAGATTCCTGTTATTGATCACTTTATTTGCATTTTGGTTTTCTCATTATGGTATAATTACCATAAAATGATGATCCCATTGCCAGGTCATCAAGAACTGGATAATGGACAATGAAACTTTAATAGTTCAATTTAGTAGTCCATTGTTTTACCTTCCTCTCTATATAAGGCTGCTTTTGCTCATGCTCTGGTTGACCTTCAGTTTCTCTTGGAATTACTATATATTTTACTTCAGTTTCTACCAGCTAAACTTAAAATATTTCTCCTCCTGTTAGCCAGAACATTGCTGACCCTTATCACTCAATAAAGTGTAGATAAAGCAGGTAGACATCCCACATAAAGAAAAAGCAATATAATTTATTTGAAGAATCACAAGTTTGAATCTACTGGAACACAGAATAAAACATTGGAAATATTAGGAGATGTGATGGATCAGGTAGAGTGGGGATATATTATTAAGAAAGTGGGATAGGATGCTAATAGGTTTAGGTTTTGTTATCTCTGTGATGAAAAGCTAGGGGATAATTTTAAGGAAAGTAATGACATGGCTGTGGAGAATGAGGAGACACTGGAGAAAGGAAAACCAGTTAGTTAGGCAGTGATTGAAAGCCTTAAAAATTGGTGAAAACCTAAATTAAGGGAGCAGCAGTGAGAATATAAATAAAAGAAAAGGTAGAATGGACATGTCAAGTTAGCTGTGGCTGGGGAGGAAAAAGGTCAGTGAAGATCAACACTGGAACTTCTGGAGTAGCTGAAAACGGAGAGGCCTGTCTGATGGATGAAGGTATGTGAGAGCAGATGACTGTGGGAACTCCAGATGGAGAAGTCCATGAGATAGTAGGCCTGGAGCTCAGAAGAGGGGTGAAGTTTGCAAACATGCATTCAATCGTTACCATTATGTAAATGGTAGCTGGGACCTGGGGGCACAGTGGGACCATGCAAGGACAGAGAATAGAGTGAGAAGAAGGTGCCCAGAATGAATCCCCGAGAACCATGATGGAGAGAAAGAAGTCAGCCAGTGGAGGAGATTAAGAGGCAGAAACCAGTGCTACAAGGAAAACCACTTGCCAGAGAAAGGCTGGTGTTGGGAAGGACACTTCTCTTAAAACAGAATTTCAAAAAAAGAAGTTTAGCCAACAATATGGAATGTCTCCTAGAGGTCACATAAAATTATTACTGTCTAGCAAACAAATACTTCTTGTTTGACTTTTCCATGTGAATGAATAATGAACCATTATTTTTATTTATAAAATATTTATTTATTTCATAATGAACCAATTTTCATTTTTCAGTTAACTTAATGAACTGAAGTTTTTCTCAAACCTATATAGCCTTACCGTCTATCTTCAATCTTTATTAAATGAACAATGTGTGTTTGTAATCAGTACATAAATACCATTCTTGTGCCACTCTCATCCAATTTATTACTCTTTCACTACAAAATTATTTAATGGACCCTTACCATGCACTAGACTCTGTCCTGTCCCTGTGGATTCAGATAAAGGCAGTCTCTGTCTCCAGGCCCACATAGTTTGCATTCTTGTCATCTTAAACTAAACAAATAGAAGTCACAGTGAGACTGGGGGGAATTCTGGACCAGAGGGCAGCCCAAATGAAACTTGGGGGTGAACAGCAAAGAGCTGGGAGTGATATGTGCTGGCAGTGCTTCTCTGCCCCTGCCCCCTTCACACTCCCTGAGCTCAGTTACACAGTCTAAGGCAGGGATGTCAAACTCATCTTCACCAGGGGCCACATTGGCCTTGCGGCTGCCTTCAAAGGGCCAAAATAATTTCAGGACCATATAAATGTAACTACTCCTTAACTGTTAAGGAGTTGAAATTACATTGGGCCCTTTGAAGGCAACCGCGAGGCCAATGTGGCCCCTGGTGAAGATGAATTTGACACCCCTGATCTAAGGAGTACTTGCCTTGAAAAACACTTTATCTTGCAGTCCATGGATTTTATGGTTCCTGGAGCTATCTACCCTAGACCTTAGTATACTTACCCAAAACCCAATCAGGATGTGAAAACAGGCGAATAGAAGCTCACAGTCTAAAATAATCAGACACCTATTTAGAAAGAAAAAATAACATGTGATTACAGATTTCTTCAAAAGTTGTGTTAGAACAATAGACAAAGAATTTAAAATAAGCCTAAAATATATAATAAAAGAGAAAAAGAAATATATTAACAGTATTAATAATACCAATAGACGGCCTGTCCAGACTTCTGGGAGCAGGCTGAGGGAGGGGGGAATAAGTGGGGCCACCAGGGAAGATGGAGTTAGGCCATGGGAATGGAGCCTGGGAGCCGCTGTGCATGGAGCCATACCCCTTGGGGAAAGAGGTCAGAGGTTTGAACACTGAGGGCATGGTGTGCAGCCAGGCAATACCTTCGCCAACCACCCGAGACCATGGTGAGAACACTGAATTTTGGTTTGTGGGTGAGTCTGTATTGCCTGGGTGGCCAAGCTTGTGCCTTCTTAATGCTTTGCCCCAGGTGCAGAATTCCTGCTCCTGGCTGCAGATGCCCTGCCCCTCCTGCTGAGGCTGTCCTCTGCACTTCCTGAAATGCCTGAGAGGTTTCCAGGGTTCCTTTACTTAGGCATTTGGTTCAGTTGCTCTCTGTTGGTGGGCTCCAAGTGTGAGCAACTAGCTTCATGCAGGGACAAGGGCACTGGGGGGAGGGGCAGGACGTGGAGATGACAGAGCACCATGGGAGTCTCCCCCACCCCCAGGCAAGAAGGCATCAAAAGGAGGTTCTTCCACTGAGCATGCAAAAGGCTAGCAAGATAATTGGATGAAGGAAAAAGCCCTCTTACCCCTTTCCAGTACCAAACTGGGGGTGGTACCACAGGAAGGCAGGCACATGTGCAATAGAAGTCAAAATGGCAGCAGAGGGAGGTTCTGGACCAAAGAGACCCATCAGCCTAGCCAGAGGAAAGAAGGGATTGGTTAGGAGCTGGACCCAAACCCCAAACTCACATAAACTCAGGTGAACCAAAAAACTCTCTCTTGCTTATCACTCTCTGCTCAGGACCTGGAATTAATACAGTGACCTGTCCTCTCCATGGGCCATGTGACCTTAGCTGTCACATGGTCCATGGCCTCCAGGAAGTAGTCTCTCTCTCTCTTTCTCTCTGATGTGTTGGAGCATTTGCCTGTGCATTTCCACCTCTCCGATTCAGAAGCATATGACCTTGCAGCCTAGAAGCTGCAAGGCCAGTGGCAATACTGGCCCCACACATGAGTTCCAGGAGGGAGTCTGAAGCTGGACAGCAGCTGGATAGTAACTAAGCTACTTGGATGACCACTTACCAGTGGCCCCTGACTCTAAAAGATGGTACTTTAAAATGGAGCAGGAACTCTAGGCATTGCCTTTTGTTTGGTCTTGCTGATGGTGGCAGGGTTTTGTCTGGGTGTTGTAGAGGCAGTGAGCTTTGAGATGGGGAGACCCCCATTCTCCCAGGTCATTCAGCATATGAATAAAAACCTCTTTCCTTTCTCACCAGCCTCTCCCTCTAAAGTTTGCCCATTGTGGTGGTGGGTAGCCAACACCCCATTTTTGTTTGATAACATTAATAACAGAAACTATTTTTTAAAAAAGAGTAAAAAGTAGTTATGGTAAATATATTAGATGAAATAAACAACACACAATAGATAAAATAAATATTAAGAGAATCCGGCTGGGAAAATAATCATGTTGGAAGATCAGATTGAGGAATTCACAACAAGGGGAGAAAAAAAAGCAAAAGAAAATATAAAAATGAAACTAGTTGAACTACCATATTTTGCTGTGTATGATGAATGCTTTTTGCGCAAACTTTTAAGGAAAAAATAAGGATGCATGTTATACATGGGTATAATGGTGCCATACCATGGGTGTGATAATCCCATGAATAATGTGCACAAAATGTGGGTGTGCCTCAGACACTGCAAAATACAGGTCATTGATATGAAAAAAGTATAATTGCTAGCATCTAGGTAAAGAGAGTTATCAAAACTGGAGAAAAAAGAAATAGGGAGGAGTGAGTATTTGAAGAAATAATGGAAATAACATCTTCAAACTAAAAAAAGATGAAAAACATAGAATAAAAAACAAAACCCCCAAAATAAGAAATAAGAAAACATAATTCACTTGGATCTGTTAAATGAAATTTCAAACTTTCAAATTAAAAAGGATATTCTAAAATGTTGCAGAAAAAAATAAATGTCTTTTTTTAAAAACAGGAGAAAATTTCAGGATCTAGAATATTTTATACAGCTGAAATATAAAAGCATGGTAAAAATAGTGTCAGGTATATAAGGCCTCAGAAAATTTAGCAAACAAAAATCTACTCTGTGAACAGTTAGATAAAGTATAAGTAAAAGGAAACAAGTCTAAAAACTACACAGGATATATAAAGTAAAAATCTCAAATACCTCGGCAAGTTTGTGCTTACCTTAAAATATCTCTATTTGTTTTTTATTGCTGCCATAACAAGTTAGATCAAATGTGGTGCATTAAAACAACACAAATTTCATGTTACAGGTCTGTCGGTTAAAAATCCAACACAAGTCTCACCGTGATGAAATCGAGGTGTCAGCAGAGCTGCATTCCTTTCTGGAGACTGGAGGAGGGAATCCATTTCCTTCCCTTTCCCAGCTTCTAAAGGTTGCGGCTGCCTTCCTTCATTTGTGGCCCTTGGTTCAAGCCAGCAACCCTGCATCTCTCTAACCATTCTTCCAGATAATCCCATTTTCCTCTGACTCCTACTCTCTGTCTTCCACTTTTAAGGATGTTTGTTAAGGACAGTTGGTTAGATTGAGTGAGATTGGGTAGAACTGGATGATACAGGATACTCTCCCCATCTCAAGTCCTTACCCTTAATCGCATTTGCAAAGTCTTTTTTGCCATGTAAGGCAACATATTCATAGGTTCCAGGGATTAGGATGTGGACATAATTGGGAGGCCATTATTTGCCCAGTATAATTTCTGTATAGGAGAAAGAAAGAAAAAGAGAATAAATACCCCAAATTTAATATTGTACATGTTAATGTACAATATTAAAATGTACAATATTAAAGGGAAGTAAGAATATGCCCAAAATGGCAATGTATAAAATAAGAGAGGATTAACATAAGCACAGAAAATGTGGCAGATATTGAAATAATAAACTATAATTATAGAAATCAATCCATATATTACTTATAATAAATATAAATGGATAAAACTTGCCAGTTGGAAGAGATCATCACATTGTATAAAAGCAAAACTGAATTCTAGAAACCTTATTTTAAGCAAACCTAACATGCCATCAAATCTAAGATGCATATCATATTATGTAGATGTAAGGAAAAAAGAAATGCTATCAATTAAATCATGACAACAGCTTTCTGATCACTTAGACTATGCTAGTTTAAAGAGCACTTTTAGATTTATTTATACACATATTTTATCATGCACAACTAATGTGCACATATAACATGTAACATAGAAGTAAAATAAATTGATTAAAGAGTTTCTAAAATTTTATCACAAAGACTCATAATACAACTTTTTCATTTGGCAATATTATTATTTGTAGCATCAACAGTACTGATGATTCAACACTTCCTAAAATAACCCCTAACAAACCTGAAAAGCTACTGGTTCTGGGCTCTTAAAACAGCTTTGCAATTACTTAGAACTAGTTTATTTTGTTTACTCTTGTTTTGTGCACATTGCCAATTTTGTTTGATTTATATTTTCCCCACACATTTCCTACAACCATTTCGTTCTTAGAGGCTAAAAGAGAGCCCCACTATGCTCTCTTGGGATTTGATTTCCATCCACTGACATTTATTCTTCAAGTTTTGATACTAGTACTATTAATGTCCGGGCAAATGCAGACAATGGGAACTGTGGTGCAAATGCTTATCTGAGTAACAGAGATTATAATACTCCATTGACTGTAAGATGAATCCTGATTTCAAAGTTGTCCAAATGCCAAATTTTATATAGCTTAGACTGCTAAAAATAGTGCATATACCTTTTTTAAAAGATTTTATTTATTTATTTTAGAGGGGAAGGAAGGGAGAAAGAGAGGGAAACATCAATGTGTGGTTGCCTCTCACAACGCCCCCTACTGGGGACCTGCCCTGCAACCCAGACATGTGCACTGACTGGTAATCAAACCACGGAACCTTTTGTTTGCAGGCCAGCACCCAATCCACTGAGCCACACCAGTCAGAGCAATGTATATACCTTTTACAGGGACACAGGGCTTGAAATTACAGAAAGTTTCAAAGTGAAAGAATGGAAGTAGGAACAACAGATAAATGCTAACCAAATGAAAGCTGATAAAGCTACACAGACTCCCATCGTCCAATATGGTAGACACTAGCTCCTGAGCATTTGAAATGCTGGTATGACTTGAGATGTTTTGTAAGTGTACAATACATACCAAATTTCAAAGATTTATCACAAAAATAATGCACAATATTTCACTGATAATTATTTCACTGTATTGGTGACATGTTCAACTAATATACATGTTAGGTTAAATAAGCATATTATTAAAATTGATTTCACCTGTTTCTTTTACCTTTATAATGCAGCCACTAGAAAATTTGAAAGTATATACATGTCTCCCTTAATATTTCCAACAGACAATTTTGCTGTATACTTTAAGACCAAAAACATTATAAAAAAAAGACATGGTTACTATATAATGGTTAAAGGTGAAATTCACCAAGATATAGTATGACTAAACATGTAGTGCATGATAAAATATCCACAAAAAATGAAGAAAATTTGATAGAATTACAGGTACCAATTGATAAATCCAACTATTTTGATGAGAAATTTCAACACATTTGTCTCAACTATTAATAGACATGACCATCCAAAATTCAACAGGGATAAAAAGTCTGAACAACACAACTAATGAGCCTAAACTGAATGACTGTGTATGTAATGCTGTGTAGAAGACTAGAGAATACCCAGTCTCCTTTAATTCACATGAAACATTTACAAAAATTGATTCTCTATATCAACAAGTTTAATGATTAAGTACCATAAAAATAAGCTTTCTGTTTTAAGTTTTAAAAATATTTTTAAAAATGATAAGGTAATTTTTAAAACACACTTCTAAATAACTCTGGGTTAAAGAAAAATCATACTGGAAATTTAAAAATACAATCTAGAACACTACCGGGCTTTCTGCTTGGAAGCTTGGTGTAACAGGTACTGAATTTCTCTTCTCACCTGAAACAACCATAAAAATAATAAAACTGATAAAATATATGAAACAACAGTTTTCAAAACACTGGATATTGGGCAACTTGAACAGTGACCCTTGAGAGATGGGAATCCAAGAGGGCCAGCCCATTGACCCCATCCCTGCTTGCTGTCTTGAGAGAGTTTCTCGTCTGTGGTGCAGGGAGGGGAGGCCCAGGGCCAGCTCAGCAGACTCCATGGGTTGAAGGGACAAAGCTGAAAGTCCTGGGAGACAGACAGCCGATGTGGCTAGCATTCGCAGAAGCAAGTTCTGGGGAGGAGAGAGATACAGAGAACCTGGGAAGTCTGCAGAGGGTCTCCATCCAGGATTCACAAGAGCACTGGTCAGCACATGTATGTGAGGAAAACATAGAACGGTAGGAAAAGAACCATCATGGTGGTTGATTTTATGTGTCAACTTGACTGGGCCAGTGGAATGACCAGCTATTTGGTCAAACATTATCCTGGATACGTCTGTGAGGGTGTTTCTGAGTGAGATTAACGTTTGAATGGGCAGACAGAGTAAAGCAGGTGGCCCTCCCTAAAGTCCCTGGCATCACACAATCATTTAAAGGCCTGAATAAAAAAAATGCTGCCTCTTACCTGACTGCATTTAAAGCTGGGACCTTGGTCTTTTGCCTCTGGCCTCAAACTTAAACATGGGCTGTTCTCGGGTCTCTAGCCTGCCAGCTATTGGATTGGAACTCGTACCCTCACGTCTCCTGGGTCTCTAGCTTGCTGACTACAGATCTTGAGACTTCTCAGCCTCCATCATTACATGAGCTAATTCTTTATAATAATAATATAAATATGTAATATAATAATATAATTAAGCAGTACTATAACTGTAATTCCTTATAATAATATTATATATTGTGACATACATTCTATTGGTTCTGTTATTATTGCATTATTTTGTACATTATTGTTATTATATTATTATAGTATAAAATAATACATATTTATTCTCTTGGTTCTGTTTTTCTGAAAAAACGTAACCCAATCACCCAAAAGAGATTAAAGGAATTAGTACCTGGTGTTCACTCAGGTCTGGGAACAGTGTCTGCTTCCACCTTCCAGACCTCATAATTTCTGAGATAACAAGAAGAATATTCAGAAAGGTCTCAGGAATGGGGAATAATTAGCCCTAGACTAAACACAGCTCTGTTTCTGCCTAACAAATTGTAAAAGCAGGACTAGAAAAGATCAAACTGTTTCCAAGGAAATTGCCTGCATCTCACAACAAAGCTCAGAAATTATTATAGGAATTCAAAAGTATCCCACTGTAGGGTGAATGAAGCCAGGCTCCCTCACCCAGATATCTGGGCAGCTAGGGTAAGCAGCACTCCCATAGCTTTCAGAATGGGCGGGACAAGCAGTATTTCCATAGCCTTGAGAATGGGTCTGCATGCGCAGAATCACGCTTTGTTATATTATATCTTGACACCCTGCCGGCTTCGTGTGCAGTTGGGAGTCCCTGCCAATGCCACACCAGGTGCAACACCCAGCTTACAGTGTGCGTGGATCGCCCTGCCCTAGAATAGAGGCCTGTCAGACACCCCGACAGCTCCGCATATTTTCTTCCTTTGCCTGAATCCCTTGTGAACCTGACTGGCCTTAAGCGGTCACGACACACCAGCCTACAAGAAGGTGAAATTCACAATGTTTGATCCAGGAATAAATTACCAGGCATGGAAAGAAGCAGGAAAATACAATGAATGTTGAAAGAAAAAACTCAACTGAAAATGAAGTAGAACTGACACGGATGTTAGAATTAGCAGAAGATCACATTTAAAGTTACTTTTACTGTATTCAATATGTTCAAAAATTAAAACAGTATATAACAAGCTTAAAGAATACAGCAATAATGATGTCATGAGAATCATTTTAGATAATAATACTTGCATTAGAAAGACCAGGTGCTAAAAGTTAATGCATAGGAAGAAAGAGGTAATATAAGTAAGAGCAGAATCAATAAAATATGAAATGAAGATATAATAGAGAATGTTGCAAACTAAACATAAGTTCTTGAAAACCCAACAAACAAAAATAGATATACCTCTAACAAGATTACATCAGAAAAAAAAGAGAAAAATCACAAATAAAGAGTATAATTAATTAAAACAATGCATAGAAATACTGGAGATATTAAATGTCATGAGAACACTATTATCACCTATATGCCAACAATTTGGAAAATTGGACCCAATGGACAAATTGCTGGGCAAGTATAACTTAGTAATCAAATCCTGGCAGAGGATTCACTTCCAAGCTCACTCACTCCTGGAACTAGTTCAGTGCTGACTCTTGGCAGGACATTGAGCCCCTCACCTGGTGTGCCTCTCCATCATGGCCTTAGTGTCCTCATGGCACTGCCACACCAGGGAGGGGAATTACAGTCCACCTCATGAGCAAAGGAGTATCAGAGAATTTGTGGGCATATCTTTAAAACAGAAAGAGTTGAAAGTTACCAGTTAAATG